CATTGAAAAAAACAGAACACATTGTTCCTAAAAGAACCTGGTTGAAAATCTAGATATGAGAACCTGTGGAACCAGATCGAAGCACATGCAAGCACACACACTCACTGACAAGTACACAGACTTACATGGCAGTTGCATTAATAACTGGTAGCCACTACATCTGAATAGAAATCACACCAGGTGTGTTTTTCACAATTATTTTTTTTATGTGCAATTGAATTCTCATGGGTTTAAAGGTCTTTATATCCCATGAAGATGTTATCAGTACCTTAAAGCTGTGTGTCCTCATGCTGCACCTCCTTTTTTGTTCTTTCACCTTTTCTCTGTCTACAGCCATCAAAAGTCTGGCAGTGGAGGGAAGGACCATACCTCATCTTTTCATTTTACTGTCTGTATTTACAGTTCATATGTAATATGTTTCTCTCAGTTGCCTGGGAGACGACTTTCAGGTCTGCTTGCCCCGAGGACCGTGTGGTGTCTTCGAGGGTTGCTAAAGTCCCTGTGGCAGCGCAGACGCTGGAAGAGCTACCAGGCAGTGTACCAGAGCTTCAAGATGAAAGGCCATGCCCGATTATTCACAACACACAGCTTGACCAGTATGAGAAAACCACAGCAGGTCAGACCAGCTGACTTTCAGTTTTGCCCTGTTTTCTGCCTTTTACCGCTGGGCTCTTCTATAGCCTGCTTTTAGACTCATTCAACTGGATAACTGTGTTTGCATTCCAGTAACTTCCTCTCCAATTCCTGACATAATTTCTGTTTCTCTGCTGAAAGGTGTTTCTGTGAGGAAAGTTACAACACACCCACATTCCTGTACGAGGAACAAAAGAGGGGAGAGGGTGGGATGGGTTCGGCATGACACGGAGAATGATGAAGCTGTCAAACAGGGCCAACTTGTGGAATATTTTTGATTAGGCTGTGAGTGGCAAAGCTTCGAACTGAGAGAGAAAGTAAGCCAGAACTAAGTCTTTAGTTAACTAGAACATATTAATTGTGTTATAATCTACTTTTTGATTGCAGCCTTCAGAAATGTAAATAGACATTAAACTGAATACCATGAATCACTCAACATAAAAATGTAAGACATGTTTGGAATCTTAGAAATAAAATGGAAACGTTTCCAAGTGATTTATGTGTTTTCTTTTTCCCAAGAGTCCTTCCATGTAAGTGCAATAACATGATCATAAATGCATTATAAAAAAGAGGCGCCATGAGAGTACAAACCTCAACCAGGTTAGCTCACTCTGAGCAGTATTTACTTGTAGGACAATAGTATTGTATGGGTGGACGCTCCCTTAGAGTAGAGTCACTACTCCTCCACTCAGCTGGCCTGGGAATGCCTTGGTGTTCCCTGGGATAAGCTGGAGGAGGTGGCTGGAGAACAAGAGGCCTTCATTTTTTTTCTATCTAGCTTGAAGAAAAGGTCCAAGGTCCAAAGTAATGTTATATTAAGAATCCCCATATATTATTCCATAAATGCATATATGCTGTCAATGCAAACAATGACAGTAAGAAACATTTTTAAATGCTCTTTATGGCATTACTGTATTATCACTTTGACCTTGAGATCAATGCATTGAGCTTGAACGAGAGGTCAGAGTTCAAATGTGACATAATATTTTAAACCTTTCTATGCTACCTTTTATATATATGTTGACAGTACATGGGCCAGCACAAGGCCAGTTGCAGACACACCGGTGGTCCTGTGCTGGCCCATGTGTGGATTACCTCTGGCAAACCTGATCTGGGCCACCAAACGGCCGTCATTCTTTGCGGTATGTGGGCCATGTGTAAGTTGTGTGCAGCCACGAGCTGCAAGCCATGTAATAACAACATGTGCCGGAACATAATAGTGCGAAAGTAACATGATGAAACTCTGTTCAGACAGTGCCTGATGCTTTTATATGCTCCCAGATTACTCAGTGTGTTTTATACAACATGCCACATTTACACACTTTCTCTAAAATGAGTGCTACCTAACTACATCCATACACATTCACACTCTTGACATGCAGATTGGAGGAACTAGGGATCAAACCACTAACCTTCCAATTAGTAGGTGACCTGCTCTACCTCCTGAGCTACAACCACCTACAGGCAATGACGAGTAAACCGTCACTAGGTTTTGGATAAAGCGTACACTCACAAACCTGTCAAATCTGCATTTGAAACGTTGGCTACCATAGCAGTATAGTATTGCAACATGGCATTTGGGTCTTCTAACTAAAATAGGAAAATAGGAACATAAATAGTGCCATCATTGCCAGACCTGGCCCACATCTGGTTGACATACACTCTGCCACGACACCGGTCAGTCAGAAGTGCCAGCTTGATGCTGGATCCAGGGAAGACCTGTTTTCTATGAGCTCGGCCACATAAACCAAACCACAATCGGGCCAGATATGGCATGCCATCACATCGACAGTGCCATCTATGGCAGGCCTGGCCCATATCTGGGTGACATATGTCTTATTATGCCAGAAGTCAGCCAGCAGTGCCAGCTTGATACCAGATCTGGGCCAGACCTGCTTGCTATGTGGGTCTACAAGCAAGCTGGGTAAAAAAGAAAAGTAGACAAGCAAACAATGAAAGTATTTCACAAGCTTCCACCTGTAAAGTATCATTACTATTTAATTCTATATATACATACAATACCAGTCAAAAATCTGGACACACCTTGTCATTGAATGTTTTTCTTTATTTTTTACTACTTTGTAAAGTGTATATACTAACTAACTATAGACGTCAAATATATGAAGCAAGATCTATGAAACTACGTCGGAAAGAAATCTGATTAATAACTCTAAATATTAATCAGACTAATATTTCATATTTGTGAAAGTCACCACTCTTTGCTTTGCTGACAGCTCTGCAAACCCTTGTGAGCTTCATGATGTAGTCACCTGAAATGGTTTTCACTTCACAGGTGTGCCTTGTCAGGGTTCATTTGTGGAATTTCTTGCCCTCTTAATTTCGGCTGGGAGATCAGTTGTGTAGTGCAGAAGTCAGGTTGGTACACACCTGACAGCCCTATTTGACAACTCTTAGAATTCATATAATAACAAGAACCAATCAGCTAAGTATAGAGAAACGACAGTCCATCATTACTTTAAGAACTGAAGGTCGGTCAGTCTGGAAAATTGCTCACGCAAGGACCGCCCCTAAAAAGGAAGACCAAGGGTCACCTCTTCTGCTGAAGATAAATTCATCCGAGTTACCAGTCTCAGAAATTGCAAAACATCTCTACATCAACTGTTCAGACGAGACTGTGTGAATGAGGCCTTTATGGTCAAATAGCTGCTAAGAAACCACTACTAAGGAAAAGTGTCCTGCCATGTCTTTGTGCGAGGCAGAAAAGGTGAATGGACAGTCTCTGGTTCCCACCATGAAGCATGGAGGAGGAGGTGTGAGTGTGGTGGTGATTTGCTGGTGACACTGTTGGGGATTTATTCAAAATTGAAGGCACACTGAACCAGCATGGCTACCACTGCATCCTGCAGAAGTTTGCATTTAGTTGGATCATCAATTATTTTTCAGCAGGACAAAGACCCCAAACACACCTCCAGGCAGTGTAAGGCCTATTTGACCAAGAAGGAGAGAGATGGAGTGCTGCACCAGATGGCTTGGCCTCCACAGTCCCCTGACCTAAACCCAGTGGAGATGGTTTGGGATGAAATGGACCATAGAGTGAATATAAAACTTAGTTTTGGGTTATTTCACATGCTTTTATTTACTACATATTTCCATGCAATATGTTCATTGTAATATGTTCATTCATAGTTTTGTACCTTCAGTGAGAAATGTAACATAAAGAGTCATGAAAATAAAGTAAAACCATTAAATGAGAAGGTGTATCCAAAGAAAATTGTATATATAACTATATAAATTATATAAATATAATTAGATAGTTGGGTGAAAATTTACAATTTTCTTCACTTAAGCGACTTAAAAAAATAGGGAAACTGTTTATGTTTACACAGGGATTACAAAAAAAGCTTCCAATAGACAATATATGCTTACAGAACCTGTGCCTTCTGCTTTTTCATATCTATTCAGTTTTGATTGCAACTCTCCAAAAACATGTGTTTAACTGTTCAAGCTGTTGCTTATCCCCAAACTCTTTGGATGAAGAGGTGGGCCGCGTTCAGGCGCTGGATCACTGCCAGCCGAAGGAAACACAATGGACAAGAGGTCAACCAAGGTGCTGTAAAAGAAAAAAGACAAAGAAAAGAAAAGTGCACTACCTACAATATCCTACAAAGGATATTGTATGAGAGGAAATGGGGGTTATAGTGTGTGTGTGTGTTTCCCCTGCAGTATGGGTGTTCAGTTTCTGCTTACACAGTAATTGCGTTGAAGTAAAAGTAAAAAATGCAACAATGTAAAACAGTCTGTGACAAATCACGAAAAAATTAAAAAAATACGTAAAGTAGCAATAATAAAAGTGCTGGTGAAGGTGACCGTGTTTTATAGTGCACAACATTATTAAATTTCTAAAGCATCAGTGTTAAAGCAGCATCTCACTGTTGCATTTGGATGAGGAGTAGCTAGGTTTTATAAATCCCAAACTAAGGCCAGCAAACCTCAAAAGCTAAATCATATCTGATATGCTGAGACAGGAATAATAATAAAAAAAAACAGCTAAGTACAAAAAAACAGAAATACATGCGAAAAATACAAAAAACACTTTCATTTTAAGGAATCTAAGGACAAAATGGTTGGGAACCACAGATTCAGAGCAAAAACATATATGTTTATTTAATAGTACTTTAAATTTGCAATTTAGTTTCTTTCTCTGCTGTGAGACGAGTGTGACAGTGGGTGTGGTGGAGTGTGGAAAAGTTACTTTTTATTATTGTTAGTTTTAATACAGGGAGGAGTATGAATTGTGAATCTTGCGACACACCCCTGCATTCATGTCCTAATTTGATTTGTAATTCATTCTCTAGGCAGACCTTAAATTGGCTATCTATAGAATATACATAAATGGACAAAGAGAGCACAAGTTAACATAGGAATACAAGCAGATTATTCATGGCTGCATTGTTGATCCCTTTTTAGAAACTGTTTCAGTGACGTTTTATGTGCCACATGCTGATTGCCCAACATGCACTGGCAGACAGGTAGATCAATGCAGTCTATCTAGTTTGTGCGTTTGCTTTTACAAGCTTAGTCATCATTTTAACATGATTTCCAAGTATACATTGAGAACTTTACCTGTGTACAGATTTAAAATCATGCTCCTTGTGCATGGCACTAGAGAGATAGGTTTGCTACTAATTATCACTTTAACTAAGCCCCATTCTCTGTAATAAACAGTCATTTGCAGCGTGCTCTTTCTGCAGGCTCATCAGAATCTCAGCTGCCAGGCAGGAGTGATGCAGATCAAGTTGGGCAGTCACCAGGTGGCAAGATCTACATCCCCTATGAGTCTGCTGAACTCTGCATTGCTCAGGTAAAACAATGAGGATCATCACAGGACAGTCGTGCAGACCAGTGGAGTTTTATTTAAAGTAGAACCAGTTTTACACTAGTGGAGGTATCATGGATTAATGTGTTACAGAGACAGCTCAGGTTGGATGATTCAGGGACAAAGTAAGAAAGGATATAATTAGTTTGTTTGAACTTGCAGATGGAAACAGATGACCTGCTTGGGCAACTCCAAAGTGAAATAGCAAAAAGAAGAAGAAAAACCAAAAATTAACATCCTAATCTCAATCAGCCTGTGATGCATGTTAGCATGGTCAAAAAAGACAAAGTAGCTTATTCTTCTTTCTCAGTGGATGATAAATATTTCTTCAGACCTTTTACTTAGTGCTTTGGCTGGTTGCGGGCATGCAAACACAATGAAGACACTGTCAGACACTGTTGTTTTGCTCTCATTCACACTCACATGGCTGCCTTGATTGTGCCACTGTTGCCCTCGAAGGCATTTGACCAGGATCATGATACCAGGATGCATTTTTGTGTCTATCTGATATCTGTTAGTGACTGTGCGCTGTAAAAACAGATAGCCAAGGACATGGAAAGCATGAGTAAAAGGCATCTGGAAATGGTCCAGGAGCTGGAAGAGAACTTCCAGATGACAATGCAGGAGAACCAGGTGATGATGTGTGTGAGTGTCTGTGTGAGGGAGTCTACTAAAACAAAACAGTACTGACAACGGTCCTCTCTCATCAGGATTGTACCGTGCAGAAGATCAGATCTCACTATCAGAACAAGTTAAACACTCTGCGAAAAATCCTGGACATCTACCAGGAGAAGGTGGAGAAGAAGAAAGCCAACTGGGAGGCTAAAGTTGAGGTTGCAGTCCTTCTCCTATTTGCCGTACATGAACACCGCTATTGTTTTAATCTTGCTCATTTTACTGCAAATTTGTTGTGGTACATTTCTACTTTTAATTTTCCAGTTCATATTCCTTGTAATCCACATCTGAAATATTGAGTGGCCGGATGCATATTTACATGCATTCGTGTTCCTGTTTCCTGCAGACCCTGAAAGCTCAAAACGAGCTGTTGCTGAAGGAGCAGAGAGCTGAGAGGAAGAGGAGCGTGGAAGAGGCCCTGCAGTGGCACAGAGAAAAGGTTGCATAGCAGTCTGGCAGACTTCATGGCCTCTTACATCAATCATTGATCTTCTGAATGAGAGCACACTCTTGTGGCTATATTTGAGAAGAACATTGAGTCTATTTTAACAATATAATCACATAGATTTTCTTCTTTTCTTTCAATTAGAGCAAAATGCTGGAACTGTTCTCCAACAGGCTGGATGCCCTGCACAGTCAGCAGGCCTCCAGTGAGTTTATCTGCCATGATGTTAAAGTCTGTGAAACACCAAATGTTTGTGCCTAACAAATTATTCATACCATTTTGCCTTAAGCAGCATTGCAGGAGCTACAGATGGCCCGACAAGAAATAGGAAAAGTCCAAGAAATGTTGGTGGTCTCCACACAGGAGCAGCAGGAAACCACAGGGGAAGGTGAAAACCTGGAGATTGAAGGACTGTCAGCACAGCAACAAACAAGGGTGGGTTTGAATTTGTTGTTGCGACAGCTTGTTTCTCAAATAAAGGATAAAGCATGAAAAGGACAATAAGAAGAAAAGTTTAGAGTGTTGCTTTTTCTGTTTTGTTTTGATTTATGTTTGGTGGACTAACCCACTTTTTTAATGAAGGACTGCAGTGATTCTGATCAACCACTGGAGGGCGCTAAAGCTCGTCTAGAGGAACTAAAGGAGAGCCTGTACCAGAGGGAGAGGGAGATCACCGAACTGCTGGAGGCAGAGAGAAGCCCCATTCCTCCGGTGCCTCAGCCACCCTGCGGCGTTCTGCTTTCCCTCGTCATACACAAGGTGCTGCTCACACATTAGTTAATATTAAACTAGGTGGAAAATCAACTGCCAGCAACAAAATCAAAGAAAAATCATCTCTTTTCCTCCCCGATTTATTTAGGCTGTTGCATCAATTTCTCTTTCTTTAGGCTCATGAAATCTGCAGTGCAGTGCCTGAAACCAGAGCCCTGTTAGACCAGATGATTGAGGACAATCGGGTTGCTCTGGCCTCAGCCAGAAACAAACTGGACCGACTCAAGAATGTTCAAGAAGAAAGCAATGACAGAGAGGATGCCACTGACCAAGAGGGGTTAGAAATTGAAACAAACAAACAAACAAACAAAAACAAAAGAAAGAAAAGGGAAAAATGATTTCTTAATGGTTGTAATAACTGCTTAATTTCAAAATATCAGGTTAACCTCCTGACTACCAGGAAAAAAAAAGTGTTGTCCAATCAACTTTTTTTAAACCCCCCAATGTTTGTAAGGTAATTAGAAGACTGAAATAATTTTTTGGGAAAAAAAAGTTTAAATATTTTTAGATATCACATGTCCACTGCAGAGGACATTGGAAGGCCAAACATGTAAAAATGAACTTTGATGGCAAATATTTGCTTCAACTCTTCACCAAGGAGAAGTTTGAACTCAAGGAACTGTAGTGGTTTCTTCCCCCAAAACTGCAAGTCATTGCTATACTGAAGCCACGAGTTGGTGATTGCCAGATCAAAAAGTAGAGAACTGCACATACTGTCAATTTCTGAGTGCGAGAGACCATCCTGTAGAAACTCAACATTCTGCAACAAGGTCCACGTCACCTATATTGGTAGTGTAGCCTACTCAGCAATTGCCAGTGGCCTTGGCACATGGACAAAACTTTTGCTTTTCTTAGACCATCTGGTGTGTCTGTCCTGAGGTTGATTGCCATAGGCAGAGGATGCCATGACAACTGTCTTGTTGTCCAACCACTTAATGACAGCAAGTTCAGGTCTGAGTACCATCTCTGATGCTCCTCCATCTTTCTTCTTCAAGGGCTTATTCCCTATGATCTTCTTCACCAGACAACTCAAGATCTGGGTTTCCCTCATCAAACTGCAATAAATTTCTTTCTGCTTCTAAAAAGGACTCCTTTTCTGGTCATTTAAAAAAACAGAACAAAATGGAGGAAATGACTACAAATGTCCACTACAGAGGACATTTGTTAAACACTTCAATACTATACTAAAATGAAGTTAGAATTAAGCATACTATGTTTTAATGTGTTATTAAGAGACTTATTTAAAATATGTTAACAACATTTATAGCTAAAAATTGCTCAATAAGAAGTTTTATGCACTTACTTTTCTTCTTCCCATAAAATGTGCTTGCAGCGATGGCCGCCATGTTCCTTAATCAAAAAACTAAAGTTCCCAAATGCTCCACCCCTTCACATTTGGTATCATTGGAAAACCCTAAATGTCCTCTGTAGATACCAAAAGGAGGCAATTCTTTAGTATGCAGTGCATGGGTGATATTCAGGTTTAGAAAGGTGCTCTACAGAGGACAAATTTGCATTGCGGGTAGTCAGGAGGTTTAAGTTAAGTTACACACTTTACTTTAAAGGTTTTCTTATATTTTACAGGTCAGAGAAATACAACTCAAATCTGTCTCTATTGCAAGAAACAGTGAAGGAAATTGAGGTCTGTCAAATCGCTTTAGGCTGCATTAAAAATGGAGAGAGCCCTGTGATGAATGGTAAATACATCTTATATTTCCTGAATATGTTGGCTCCAGCCAGTAATAGTAAATTAATTCATATAGTCACATCACATACATTCTTCACTTCTTTTATATAACAAAAATGTACATCTCATTGTCATAATATATTAGTAACTAGTAGTAAGTAATTAGTCTTTTACATATCACTCTTTTATTTTCCATCTCCACTCAGACTGTGCAGTTTCAGAACTGGAGGATATCCTGGGTCAGGAGGCAAGCCAAACCACGGGTGGAGTTAAGAGTGCCGGTCAGCAGCTTCTATTGCTGCAGGATCAGGTTAGTTTTTTACCACATCAGGTCAGATCTGTCCACCCAAACACTACAGAAACCACAGACAGAGGCATTAATCTGTCCACAGTGAGCTTTTACAGATACATGCTACTCATTAGGTATCACTTATATTATAAATCAGCAGTCCAACGGGGTACCAAAGCAGCCCCATTGTTATTCTAAACATTGATTATAGAATATTTTAGCACAAAGTGCTGTAAATACTTGATTTTATGTAAAGCATTCCTCACTATGATAACTCTTCCCTTATCATCATGTTTTTTTTTTCAAGCTGAAGCAAGAAAAAGAAGAGAAAAAGAAAATAATTGAGAACTACACTTCAGAAAGGACCCTGAGGAAAAAATATTACAATATGGTTGAAGATATGAAAGGTATGCATGTGTGTCTGTACTGCATGTAGCGCATTTTAGTTTCGACCTAAACTAAAAAGAAAAACTTGTTTCTTCAGGTAAAATTAGAGTGTTTTGTCGGATTCGCCCTGCGAGCCGAGCCGAAGCTGCGCAGGGTGGCGCCATCGTTGTGGAAAAAATAGATGAATACTCTGTCACCGTAGAAACCCCTCGTGGACCAAGGGAGTTTCAGTTTGACAAGGTGTTCAGTGCTGAAGCCTCTCAGGAAGACTTGTTTCATGACACCAGCAGGTGAGGGGCCCGGCCGCGTTTATTCAATGTGACATAACAGACACAGGGAGTCCCAGATTTGTATCATAGCAACCTCTGTGAATCTAAAAAGTAGTTTCTACTATTCTAAGGTACCAGCTCAGGCTAACCAAAGCTACAGTTACCTAACATGTGCTGCATGGAGGCACTCAAGCTTGGGTTAAATTGGGATTTGTGATGAGTGGGAGCTCTTATGCGTTAGACAAAATAAAATTCCTTCATTGCCAGTACACAGACGACAGCTGATGCTGCATTTGCTCATGCTGCTGTGCCACCTCTGTAGACTGTTTCGCTCATTTTGGGATTCTGCTGCTGTGCAATGTTATGTCTATTTAGTAGCATTGAAAGGGAGCAAATTATGTTCAAAAACAGATTTCAAGAGTTGATGGAAAAGTAGAAACAGTGAGGTAGCTCCTGAGGTAACTTGACATCAAGCCTTCCATATATTTTGACGCTTTCAGCTGAAGAAAATGTTTTTCCCACAGGCTGATCCAGTTAGCTATCGACGGTTACAACGTTTGTGTCTTTGCATATGGCCAGACGGGCTCAGGGAAGACCTTCACTATGGTTGGGGACAAGGAACAGAAGAATCCCGGGATCATCCCGAGAGCTTTCAATGCCATGTTTGATATCATGCGCGAGAACAGCTCTAAATTCAGTTTTAAGGTAGCAGACATTATTTCACCAGCATATAAACAAACCATGTTTGGGAGAGAAAAGACGTTGCTTCCCTTTGTTCCTCTCTTCCTGGTTACTGTGCTTCCTTTTAGGTTTCAGCCTATATGCTAGAGCTCTACAATGACAGGCTGCAGGACCTCTTTGCGAGCCAGGCTGGTGAGGCCCACGTACACACTCAATCCCATGGCCAGGCCAGGCGGGTGGAGATCAAGAGGAACAGAAAGGGAGTTGTGTTCGCCCAAGGAGCAGAGACAAAAGAGGCTTCCAGTGCCCAGGAGCTCTACGCTCTGTTCCAGCAGGCCTGCGCAAACCGACACATCTCTGCCACCAGTGAGCTCTTGATGCCGTGCAAAAGCCTCAAATAGGGTCCTGCTAATTGGTTTGGATTAATCATGTTAGTTACAGTTATAGCAGTGGGGTGGCATTTAGGTACATCATTACAGATCTGGAAAGCAGCAGAGCAACAATATGCTGATGCTAAACCTTTTATATATGTATATATTTAAATATATATAAAAAACACCCAGCACGCCCCTGCGGGCGGTTTATCCTTCAAGCTCGGGTCCTCTACCAGAGGCCTGGGAGCTTGAGGGTTCTGCGCAGTATCTTAGCTGTTCCCAGGACTGCGCTCTTCTGGACAGAGATCTCCGATGTTATTCCCGGGATCTGCTGGAGCCACTCGCCTAGCTTGGGAGTCACCGCACCTAGTGCTCCGATTACCACGGGGACCACCGTTACCTTCACCCTCCACATCCTCTCGAGCTCTTCTCTGAGCCCTTGGTATTTCTCCAGCTTCTCGTGTTCCTTCTTCCTGATATTGCTGTCATTCGGAACCGCTACATCGATCACTACGGCCGTCTTCTTCTGTTTGTCTACCACCACTATGTCCGGTTGGTTAGCCACCACCATTTTGTCCGTCTGTATCTGGAAGTCCCACAGGATCTTAGCTCGGTCATTCTCCACCACCCTTGGGGGCATCTCCCATTTTGACCTCGGGACTTCCAGGTTATACTCGGCACAGATGTTCCTGTACACTATGCCGGCCACTTGGTTATGGCGTTCCATGTATGCCTTGCCTGCTAGCATCTTGCACCCTGCTGTTATGTGCTGGATTGTCTCTGGGGCATCTTTACACAGCCTGCACCTGGGGTCTTGCCTGGTGTGATAGACCCCAGCCTCTATGGATCTTGTACTCAGAGCTTGTTCTTGTGCTGCCATGATTAGTGCCTCTGTGCTGTCTTTCAGTCCAGCTTTGTCCAGCCACTGGTAGGATTTCTGGATATCAGCCACCTCCTCTATCTGCCGGTGGTACATACCGTGCAGGGGCCTGTCCTTCCATGATGGTTCCTCGTCTCCCTCCTCTTTCTTGGGTTTCTGCTGCCTGAGGTATTCACTGAGCACTCGGTCAGTTGGGGCCATCTTCCCAATGTATTCTTGGATGTTCGTTGTCTCATCCTGGACTGTGGTGCTGACACTCACCAGTCCCCGGCCCCCTTCCTTCCGCTTAGCGTACAGCCTCAGGGTGCTGGACTTGGGGTGAAACCCTCCATGCATGGTAAGGAGCTTTCTTGTCTTTATGTCAGTGGCTTCTATCTCCTCCTTTGGCCAGCCTATTACCCCAGCAGGGTACCTGATCACGGGCAGGGCGTACGTGTTGATGGCCCGGATCTTGTTCTTACCATTCAGCTGACTCCTCAGGACTTGCCTGACCCTCTGCAGGTACTTGGTGGTTGCAGCTTTTCTAGCGGCCTCTTCATGGTTCCCATTTGCCTGCGGGATCCCCAGGTACTTGTAACTGTCCTCTATGTCTGCAATGTTGCCTTCTGGTAGTTCAATCCCCTCAGTTCTGACTACCTTCCCTCTCTTTGTTACCATCCGACTACACTTCTCCAGTCCGAACGACATTCCAATGTCATTGCTGTATAGCCTGGTAGTGTGGATCAGTGAATCGATGTCTCGTTCACTCTTGGCATACAGCTTGATGTCATCCATGTACAGGAGGTGGCTGACAACTGCTCCGTTCCGTAGTCGGTATCCGTAGCCAGTCTTGTTAATGATCTCACTGAGGGGGTTCAGGCCTATGCAGAACAGCAGTGGGGACAGAGCATCTCCTTGGTAGATCCGCACTTGATGGTGACTTGTGCTATGGGCTTGGAGTTGGCCTCTAGTGTTGTACGCCACATCCCCATTGAGTTCCTGATGAAGGCTCTTAGGGTCCCATTGATCTTGTACAATTCTAGGCATTCCAGTATCCAGCTGTGGGGCATTGAGTCATAGGCCTTCTTGTAATCAATCCAGGCAGTGCACAGGTTGGTCAGTCTGGTCTTGCAGTCTCGGCTGACTGTTCTGTCTACCAGTAGCTGGTGTTTTGCGCCTCTGGTATTCTTGCCAATTCCTTTCTGTGTCCCACTCATGTATTGACCCATGTGCCTGTTCATCTTAGCCGATATGATGCCTGACAGGAGCTTCCATGTAGTACTGAGGCAGGTTATTGGTCGGTAGTTGGAGGGGACCGGTCCCTTCTTGGGGTCCTTGGGGATCAGGACCGTCCGACCTTCGGTTAGCCATTCCGGGTGTCTCTCGTTAACTAGCAGCTGGTTCATTTGTGCTGCCAGACGCTCGTGGAGTGCAGTCAGCTTCTTTAGCCAGTAGGCGTGAACCATGTCGGGCCCTGGTGCTGTCCAACTCTTCATACTGGAGACCCTTTCTTGGATATCTGCCACTGTGATGGTTACTGGACCCTGTTCAGGGAGGTCGCTGTGGTCTGCCCTCAGATCCACTAGCCACTGAGCATTGCCGTTATGGGTTGCGTCCTTCTCCCATATGCTCTTCCAGTATTGCTCCGTCTCCAGCCTTGGTGGTGCTGTTCTCTTATTATTGTTCCCTTGCCACTGAGAGTACACCTTTGCTGGTTCTGTGGAGAACAGCTGGTTTATTCTCCTGCCTTCTATCTCTCTGGTGTACCTCCTCAAGCGGCTGGCCAAGGCTGTGAGTCTTTGCTTGGCAGTTTCCAAGGCCTCAGGTATGGACAGCTTGCTGTATTTCTTATGCACCTTCTTTGTCGCACCTTTCTGCAACTCCGTTAGTTGGCTAACCTCCCTCCGTGCTACTTTGATCTTGCCCTCTAGCCTCCTTCTCCATGGAGGGTACTGCCCCTTGTGGCTGTTCAACTTGTAGCCAAGCATCTCACTGATCACTGCTGCCGTATTGTAGATCAGCTTGTTAGTGTCGGTAATCGTGGTTGTAGGTATTGTCCGTAGTGCTGCATTAACATCATCTAGCAGACCTTCTGAGGGTACTTCACGTAATCTTGGTAACCGGCTACGGGGGATCCAGGTTTCAAGCTTGGCCATTATCCTATTTTTCAGGTCAGTTCCTCTCGCACTCAACGATCCTTCTCCTATCGCACTTGGGGCTATGTACCCAATCTCGGGTGGGGGTGATGATATCTCCCCCCTGACCTGGCGTCCTGACTCCTCCTTGCCGTAGCATTTGTGTTGTACCTCGTCAATCTCTAGCTGTGAGAGCAGTCCCTTCTTTCGAATGTTGGAACACTGAGCTACTAGTTGTTTCGCCGTCATTGTGGATGTTGGGTATCGAAGAATCCATAGGTCCGTCATCCTATTCATGTAGCCCCTTCCGCCGGGGTTACTTGCGTAGTAGCATTCCAACAACGCCCTGTTTTCGTCTCTTGCCCACCGATGCCTTCTTGTTCCAGTAGCCCACTTTTCGTCAGGGTGCCCTGGTTCCTCAACACCTGACGCGGACCTTGTTGATCCGGGCGACGTCCGAGCCGGCATGCCTTCATATTTATCTGTCTCGCTCATGTCTGCGGTAGGCTTGCTTAGCATAGGGGGTCTAGCCTTAGGACCCTTACTGGATACAGACGCCCCGGGCAGGAATCGAACTTGCGATCCTGGGTTCCAAAGGCGTGTAGTCTAACCACTACGCTATCCAGCTGCATATATATATATATATATATATATGTATATATACATATATATATATATACATATACATATATACATATATATATATAATATATATATGTATATATCATATATATTATATATATAAATCCTATTTATATATATATATATATAATATTACATCTATATATTTATATATATTGTGTCTGTTTGTATGTGTGTGTGTGGGTGTGTGTGTGTGTGTGTGTGTGTGTAGTGTTTAGAGAGTGAGGACAGAGATCTCTGAGGACTGATTGATTATTAATCAGCATCTTCTGAAGTCGCACTTCTTAAAATACCAGAAATATATAAAAATCCATCTTTCTTTGTCCTGTTGTATTTTTGTCATTTTTAAAGAGATGAACGTGGAGAGTTCCCGCTCTCATCTTATTGTTGGCATCATGGTGGAGAGCAGGAATCTGACAAATGGGAGTGTAAGCAGTGGGAAGCTGAGCCTTGTAGACCTGGCAGGCAGTGAGCGAGCAGCCAAAACAGGTGCCAAGGACCACCAGCTGAAGGTCTGCTCCTATCTTGTTTCATGGGTCAGTGAGTGGTTGAAAGATTTGTCATGACTTCTTTAAATTCTTCCATGTTCTCCTCTGTGCAGGAGGCAAACTCCATTAACAAGTCTTTGAGTGCACTGGGTGATGTGATCTCAGCTTTATCTGCTGAACTGCCCCATGTGCCATACAGGAATAGCAAGCTAACACAGGTAATAAATTAAAAAGGCAGTATTCTAGTTTTTCAATTCTGAACTCCAACGTAGACAAGCAGTTCAACCAAAATGTGTTTCATCTCTCTCAGGTGATGCAAGACTCTTTGGGTGGAAATGCTAAAACTCTGATGATCGTCAACACCTCTCCTACAGAATACAATCTTGACGAGACGCTCACATCTCTTATGTAACAGAGAGAGAAAAAACAGTGTTTTATTGTATTTTAGCACTAAAAAACTCAACAGAATAACACTTGAACTCTCTGAACTTTGCAGTTATGCAACAAGAGTGAAGGCCATAACCAACAACGCTCAGAGAAATGTGGAAAGCAAAGAGATTGCCCAGCTGAAAGAGGTGCATGCCACTTTCACAGCCAGCTATTCAAATATGTACATTTCTATTTAGAATTAAACCATAAAATAATGTGAATGTATTTTTTTCCAGGTGATCATGAAACTGAGATCTGGGCAGAGCGTGGAAGAGGAAGATGTTTGAACCGTTCTGCGTCGTAATAGTGAATAAAGTTATGAGTAAAGATTGTTAGAGATGTTCACATATTAATTTAGCCATAATTAGTTGGACAGACATCACAGTGCAGTTACTGACAGTTGCTGTGAGGATTGTGTGTGGTTTCTTAATGAATGTATAGAAACGGGCCCCCACAATAAAAGGCTCCATGTGTAAATGAAGATGTGAATAGAAATCAGTAGGTCATTCAGTTTGCACGTGTTTGTGTGTGGCCAGTGAGTTCAGTGGCTGTGAATAGACATGCAATAGCACGCAATGTTACACTGTTGTTGACAAGAGTTATACCGATGAGTTTGTAAAATTAAAGCTTTAGTTCAAAGGTCAGGGGAATTGTAGGAAATGTTAAAATCTGTTAATGTATCAAAGAAAATTTGTCCACTTGTACACAAAAATCTACGGAATATAAAAATACGGCACTGTGACACAGATCTCATGACGAAAACAATATTTATTATTTAATATGTATCCTTAGTTAATATTTATTATTAAAATAATCTATTAAAAAATTAAAATAGGGTTAAAATGCTTGCATTCTACTTTACTTAATACATTTCCATAGCTTGGTTTTCTGTACTTAACATATCTATCTAGGTAGATAAGATTGTTTTTTTCGTTTTTGTGTTTTGGAGGGATCCTTCTGAGCTAGTCCTCCCCTACTCACTTCAGAGTCAGCCTCACTGCCATCATCATCCATGAGTCACTCAGAACAGTGTGAAGGTACAGACAGAAAGCCAGTAAACATTACCACACAAGCAGAGGCACATTATTGTTTTCAGATTGCATGTTTTATACAAAGCCACTGTCTGCAGCTGTTTTATGTGACTCAGTTTTACTCTTTCTATAATTACTATAGAAAGAGGCTAACTGTAGGCTGTATATGCTTTCAAAAAAAACAATTTCCAACATCAGCTCTACTTTTTCTTTCAAAAATAGTCCAAAAGTTAACATTTTATGCATACATTAGAAACAATAACTGCCTTAAACCTAGTGGTATTAGTGCTTTGAGATAATTTGAATATTTGTTAGTATGTTTGTAGTTTATATAGCACACTTTTTTTATGTGATATTATTTTACCTCAACATGACGTATAGAGGTCAGGTATTTACAATAAGATTAAGTTATTCAACTTGTAATATTCAGGTGAAACAGTTCATTAAGAGCTATCAGCTGAAGTCTGTCCTTCATAGTTTCCCAAAGAAGGCACTCATCAAATGTTCACAAACAAAAGTTTAACAACAGCTAAAAGTGTCTATACTATTTCTATTTACAAAACTATTAATGAAGTCATTGTGGCTTACCCTGCTGCCAGTGACACTCATCCTCATTCCTCCGTTTTAAACTGTGACCAGTCACTTAAGATATTAATGTAGCAGGCAGATGGACTGAATGCTGTAAAATGACCTCATGTTCGCTTTGTGTATATTTATCTTTGTGTCTGTGCTTTGACCACATTTGCCAAACTGAGCACAAAATAGTAATAACTACAATTAATTTCCACTGTGACATTCCAAAACATCCGAAAGATCATCATTTGAGTTTTCAGACGGTCTAAAATCTCTGGGAAATGGTAATCCTGTATGGACGTGGTTTCATAGTTAGACCAAAATCAGTGCTGAGATCCAGCTCCTGCCCTGGAACATTTTCAATACGTAGCCCATGAAGAAGCGTGGTAAGAAACACAAACATCTCCAAACGTGCAAATTCATCGCCAAGACAGCGTCTTTTTCCCATGCCGAAGATCTGGACTTTCTCTGTCAGCTCTTTGTTCAGGAGTCCACATGGATTCAAGAAACGCTGTGGACGAAATGTCTCAGGATCGCCCCAAAGATCACTGGGAAAGAATGAACATTTTAACAAATAAACAAAAATGTTAAAAAAACATCCACACAGTCTTAAAAGATAAAAAGAACGAGACAAAGTAGATTTTTACTGCTTTCGGCTACTCACGTATCATGGTTGACTTGATATTGATTAATGAAGACGCACGTGTCTTTGGGAATGAAATACCCATTAAATGTGATGTCTCTCGTGGTGCTGGAGAGGAAAAATATAATCAGAGGAAAGTGATAAAAAAAACAATCTACATGCTGAAAAAACAAATTTACTGCTGTCAAAACTTTAGGTCTTACCAGTGTGGTATGGTAAAAGGGACATATGAAGCATGACGAAACACTTCATATATGAAGGCCTCTGTGAAAGGCATCTTGGCTTTATTGGAAAACCTGGGCAGCTGGAGTTTGCCGATATGCTCATCTTAAAAAAATAATGATAAATAATAAAACATAATCTGTATCTCATCTTTTGGGTCTAAAAAAATGTGACATAAGTTGTGATAAACTTGCAGTTTTGTTAACGTTATTTACATTTTTATTTTCATTTTTATTCTTGTATTCTAATAATATGTCTTTTTTTTTTTTTTTTTAATTTAAACTTAACATAAACTGATTTCCAGGCTGTGGTTTGCTTTCTTTCAGTATGTAAAAACTTTATGCACATGTGCATCATAAAAAATTACAATTTAAAATATGCTGATCCTTTAGATTACTTTACAAATATTGCTCCACTAATAAGGCTTTCGGTACTGTAAACAACAGAATTAAAGCCTCTTAATTAAATGAAATGTAAGAGATGAAAAAGGGAATAATGTCAGACTATGTCTGTTCACTGCCTTGCGTGTCAGCGCCTTTGTGTCTCCGGGGAACTCTCTAACCCCTCTCCTGTTCTGATTCATCCTGCCTCCTCTTAGTTCTCTCTGTCTCTCTCTCTCGCTTCATCTCGCCCTCTGTGAAAATACAACGTGCCTCAGAACAGACAGCACCAGTTCTCTGAGCCCACTTCAAAAAGCGTCAGCAAATTGGACTGATCTTTTGTGAGTTTCTCTGGTCTGATTCTGTCTCTCCAAAAAGCGTGCTCGGTTGGCCGTTGTTCAGTCTTTTTAATAAGGATTCTCCCTGATACTGCAGACATCACAGACGGCTGCATGCTCATGTATGGCCTGTGCATAGCTGCTAATGAGAGGTGCATTTCCACCCGTTTCTTGTAAACTGTGTGAATCCCATTTGTGGTGAATATTTTAATAGATAAGAACTACATTTACTACTGACTTATGCTCATCAGTGATGTGGGACTTAAAACGATTAAGGAGCAACCTCCTATTTTTGGTCTATGAGAAACAGAATGATTATGAGTCCGTCATCAGAGCAGGAACAAGAGAGGACTTTCCTATTTAGCATACCCTGAATTCTCTGTAAGCCGTGTATTTACCAGTTTCTAACAATGGGTGACTTTGGTGAAGAGCCGAGCACACTGTACAGCATATGAGTTTGTTTTAATGGAGCATAAGGCATCACCTATTTCCTGGTGTATTTTATCCTGGATGTCAGGAAACTTGATGAGGTACAACAGGCTCCACTGCAAACCAGCGATGATGGTGTCGAATCCTTTGGAAAACCACAAAAAAGGGGGAAAATTCATTATCACCATTAGGATTTATTACTGGCATAATACAAGAGTAAAAGCATCATAATGTGAAATTTGTAGTTTGCCTAACCTGCTCCAAAGATGTCTATGACAGTGTGAATGATCTGGTCGTTAGAGAGCATCGAAGTATTCTTGCTTTCTTCTCTTTCTTCACAAAGTGCAATTAGAGCGTCTGTAATGTCCCGGATACGGTTCTGCAAACACAGATAACTTTACTCCTTCCAACATCAAGCAGCTGTCACTGCTCAAATATAAAGTTATCTACTTTAACTGCCAGCTTGCTTTAAACCTTAAAAGTAATTAGGGAAGGGACAGTAATCAATTGTGGTAAGACGCGTGTCTTCCAGTAGAGTTGCTAATTCCTAATTAGAGTGCGTGCGAACATTTTAGCCATCTCTGCACAAGAACAAAAAAGGTCCATCACATGGAACTTGTTAGTTATTTTTTTGGCTACAGTTACGATCATAGCTACCAATGTATGAGTTCAATGTCATATTAAAGAGCCAGGATGCAAATTAGTGGCACAGATCTAAAGAAAACAACACCAACAGACACATTATTTACAACATAAGGCTGTGGCGACATCTATTAAAGGTCACTGTGCAAAAGATCAGTTAAAGTTAAGATAATATAAAAAATATATAAATAAAATGCAATATTCACAAATCATTAAGAAGCCTAGTTGCTGATTATTATGAAACTGAAGTTTATGTCAGTAAGTCATGTGCAAAAATGAAATAAATAGAACTTAAGCAAACAGTGATTACATGGCACAGATTGTACTGTCATTTTCCCCCATTTAAACTAAATTCTTGCCTACATGTAAGTCTGCATACTTAATTACCTTATCAAAGGTGTCAATGTGTTCCTCAATATTCCGCTCCATGAATCTGTTCATCCTGCGAACGTACTGGACTATCTTTCTCAGCGATGGACTCGGAAAGTAGCGAAACACGGGGAAAAAATCAGCCAGGTTCCCCGCTGCAAAGAGCTTCAGGACCTCGTTGTTGACATCAACAATAGTGAGAAACTCCTTATCACTGTAGTCATACCGTTTCCCAAAACAAAGTGCACAAATGACATTTGCCACTGAGGTTACCAAGGTCGTTGCTGGGTCTATATCCTCCGTTTCCTCTTTTGCAGCTTTTTCTCGAATCACCTGCACCATCCCTGCAGCCTCTGCACATATGTGCTCCTCTAAGAGGCAGGTGGCACCAAAACCCCTTGGCTCAGCCTGGGAGAAAGACCTGAGGGCATTCTTACACAGCTTCTTATGGAGCAGCCACACAGGTCCGTAGTTCTCATTGAAAGTCATGCTGGTCCCATTGGCTATAGCAGAGAAGATGAAAAGGTTAGGTCGCCCCGCAAAAGCTTCCCCGTGTCGAACCAGAGCCTGCCTGATGGTGTTGTACCCACTCAGAACGACAACAGTCAAAGAGCCAAGGCGGAGCTGGATTCATGACACAAACAAATAAATTAACTCATGCTCACTCTGTTGATCTGAAACTAATAATACAAAAACTATATATAACTATATGTACCTTGAAGATGTCTCCATACTGAAGCCTCAACCCAGTTAGAGAGAGATGAATCTGATCCCCGACCTGGAGCAGATTCCCGACAAGGGGCCACGGTTTGGGGCCAGGAGGTGGGGGATATTTTGTGTGGTCCAGCTGGGAGTCAAGATGGAAGTGGAAGAAGGATCTCTTACTCTTTTGACCCCAGATAACCATCAGGAGGAGGGTTAAAAGACAGAGTGCAACAGTTACACTAGATAGAGAGCCAAAAGAGTTCTCCTTGATTGGCAGAATCCCAAACAGCAGCGGCCTCATGTTGCAAGTAGAAATACTGAGAGATAAGAGAGAGAAAGTTGAAAGTGAAGAAACAAAAAAAACAGATTTATCCTTGAAAGGGAGAAAACAGATCAGATCCTCGTTAAAAGAAAAGAAAATGTGCCTCATACTGTGTCCTGTAAAAACCAAACAAGGAAAGAATATTAAAAAATAAAGAAATGATAAGAAAGCCATACAGTAAGATAAACTCACCATACAGGGCCCTCGGAAACTTGGCGGAGAAAAAAATTTACAGCTCAATTTAGACAGCAAAGAGCAGACACCAAAATATTAGATAGTCAGAGGTTTGAGGTCTGACCCTTGGGAACTTGTGATGAGAGTGGCTTGCATTACGGGATGTCCCATGCAGCAACAGCAGCCAGGCCCCCTGCAGAGGGAGCTGCCGCCCATTCACAAAAGAGAGGCACACATAGTGAGAAACTTGGCTCAGGGTTTTGGATGAGTCCGACTGAGCCAGCCAGAGGACTGCATCAGCCAATTTAACTACAGACTGGAATCTTACACAGCACGGGCTCCTCCTCGCCAGTTCTTACCTTGACTAGTAAAGGTAAATTGTAAATGGTTTTTATATAGCACATTTCCTACTCCACTGGAGCAACCAAAGCACTTCATACATGGAGACTGTGTGATGCAGTGCAAAGGCTAAAAATGTTTTTCAAACTCAATATGTGGTATCATTACCAGCTTCCTGGCCCTGACCACCAGAGATGCTTTTAAATAAAAACTTAACACTTATACAAACAATGTTAGTTGTTAGTTGGATGATTTGTTTATAATTTAATACTGCACTGCCTCTTCAGCTAAAATCTGACTGCTTATGTCTTCACTGTGCATGATTCAGTTCTCTCTTGATGTTTTAGGCTGTAGACTGGAAAATAAACTGCCAGACTGCCCCACTGCCTGTGGACCGATTATCTAGACATAACAGTATTTCATCATCACCAAGGAGCCACCAGGTTGAGGATCACTGCTCTTCAGAACCAGTAGTATCAGAGTGAAATGAAATGTATGGAGTGTATTAGGAAATCCATGTGCAACTGCATGTATTCCAATCCTCTGTCGAAGAAACAAGACGCGGTGTAATGGGTGATTGCCCTGAAAGCAAAGAGATGGATTTCAACCCTGCCAAAAGGATCTGATACCTGACCCACACCAACAGTTCTTCATTCACTTATAAGTGGAGAAAATGTGAGATTTAGGCTACCCTGCATGTTCCTGTCTGATAGGCAGGAAATGAAGACTGCAACACAGCAGCATTGAGCAAAACAGCTTAACAATGGGAAATGACTGTGTCCCACCCTGCCTGTTTATGTGCTGCCTGGTCAGAACATGCTGGACCACCCAAAAAAAAAAACTATTTTGAGCTAGGAAAGTATTTAGCAACTCCAAATGGCTTCCAGAAGTCTAGCCCTCCCCACTCACTGCCACACCATCATACAGGCGCTTCAGCCTTCAATCCAGTCAGTTCCCATACAGTCCAGTGTAAAAATGTTAACTTTATATCATTAAAAAGCTTGTTTACAGTCTAGTGCAAAAAAAATGGTTTGGCGCTCTATGGATAGTTTCCCCCTTCATAATAATTATCCACTGTGTACTCAAGCCATAGTGGATACGCTATGGCTTAACGTTATAGACATAAGTGACAAATTTCCCAACACAGGAAGCTGCAGCTAGTCGCTACATGCCAGTCCTAATCTGCTAATTTGAATCACTGAAATGGACCACATGTTTGAGCTGCCAGTTTCTTTTCAACGATTTTGATTTAAAGTAGTCCATAGCACACAATAAATACCGGATATGTGGGTCTCTGTATTTATTCAGCCTGCTAAGTTTGCTGATAACACCAATTCCTGGTTAAATTCCCTCTAAATGTTGAGGAAAGCCACTTCAGTGTTCCCTTTATCACTTTCTCTCACATAGGATACACTGGACCATCATTTCTTGCCTCACGATATAAAGAAAAAAAGCAGCCGACCATTAACAAAAACAAATGACAAACACAAGTGACGACAAGTGACGTCAGTCATCAGAAACTACTGCTTTTCCATCTTTGCCATAATTTTGTATGTTTTAACCTTTTAAAATGCGTTAAACTAATGGCTGATGCCTAAACACAACACTGCTTTATTCAAATCTACTTTTTATGAAGCTGTAAAACAATTTGCAACTTTGGGAAAGCGCCTTAGAAAAGGGTGTTCATATTTAAGTAGATTTCATAATTCAGTTCAAAACAATTTCTTTTATATATATATATATATATATATATAGCACCAAAATCCCAAAATCTCAAAGCAGTTTATTATTTAAAGTTAAAGACCCCATGGAGAGAAACCCCGAACCTGAACATAGAACAACACAGTGGCAAAGAATCTAAAACAAGCTTTTTTTTTTCTTTCAAATTACTATTGTTACTATTGTTTCCATAAGGAATGAGTGTTTTATATAGAGTCAGTGGAGCCACTAATAATTGCCATCCACTTCTTGAAAGGACAAGAAGCACTGTGTCGGTGAGAGCAGACTGCTGGAGGCCACTGCGGGGATAGTTTAGGCTCTCGTAAATTAAATTAGCTCCTCGTTGAAATTGAGAAGCTCAGTGACGAACAGCGACCAACCTCTGCTGGGAGTTATTTATTTATTTATTTATTTATTTACTTATTCCTGAAAATTCACTCAGAAGCCCGGGGCTTGATTATGTGACATCAGTACTTCTATCAAAGCCGGAGCGTCCTGATAGGCTACAGAGTGGACGCCCCTCTCTGGGAGGGGAGCTTTGGAGCACTCGGTGAAGGTGCTTGTTGGTGGTCACAGGGCGGAAAGTACGTACAGGCTACCCTCAAATGTAAGCTTGACTGTGGTGCGCATACGCATATATAGCTAACGACCTTGCGCATCTTTGAGAGCGGTTGCTATTAACCGGTCTGTGCGTTCAGAAGCTGCAAGAGTGTTTGAGCATTTTGAATCTATACGTTCACATTTCTTTTATATCCTCAGGTCCAAAATTGGACAAGCCCCCCCCCTGTACTTCTTGCAAGCAATCAATAACGGCTGTACCAACCTTTATTTGTCTCCGATGCACGGGCCACCGGGACTGCTCTCGCTCTGCAGTTTATTTACAGTGTTTCCTCAAGCAGCTGCTGCAGATTTACTCAGAGAAGCGTCCCCCTCCTCATCTCTCAGTTTGTACATCCTACTTTCTTTTGCGTTTTAATCCCTCCCACAATAGATACAGGCCGAGGAGCAGACGAAGAGGCTTGCAGTGAAAGGAGTGGGGGGGTAACAGATATTTTTGCTTAAAGTATAAGAATTATGGTTTGCTATAACTGCCTGCTACTGAATTTGATGACCTCAGATGTCAGATAAATATAACAGTTTGATGAAATACAAAACTGATATGATCAGACAGCTGAACATTGAACACAGCTGAACTAAAATAATCTACAAACATAAAGGATCTTAAGACTTATTGATCCTGTTAATCTTTTCTGCAAAGTATGCATTACAGCTCCCCTACCTCCACTCTCCCCCTCCACTGTCCTCCAGATACATTTTAGTAACGGACCTGCTGGTGCACTTAGATTGATTTCCAGGTTACAGGCAGGAGGATGGATGGCACAAAATTGTAAAATTACACTAATAAGATGGATAAGCTGCATCACTCATCAGTTATACTCATTTATTTTTCTCTTTCCCTTTCACAAAGGATAGTCCAGTTCTGTTGCTGAAGGAAGTAATAAAGAAGGTGCTGGAGCAGCTTTTTGAGAATTTGAACAGCTGCAGAAGCTTCCAGGTTACTACGCAAAGGTGACTGAACACAAGCAAGAGAGAAGTGAGTCCAAAGTTCTGCTAAAAGGAAATGACCTTGTTTGACCTGGAACCACAACTGATGGGAATGTCCCTTGTCTTTCCTGTTCTCTTTGATTTTATTATATACCATTTCTTGACGCAACACTCCCAGGGATGCGTGTCTCTACCCAAGGTCTCAGATCTTTTTTGAGTTAGGCAAATGCAGGATGCTTTCTTTAATGTATGCAAGTTGCATACATTAAAGAATGTTAATGTTGCATAATGCAACATTAACATTTACCCAGTGACCATGAACCACCTTTGTTTGGGCACTGAAGTGACAAAACCTGAACAGTTGCTGCAGTTACCTAAGAAATATTTAACACACATTCTCTCCAGAGGCCTGGAGGTGAGTGAGCCAACTAGTTTCTCTGACTGAGAGATTGGTTCCTGTCTCACAAGAGAGCAGTGTCATCTCCCCACATCTCCCCAGTGGCAGATGACACTGCCCTCTTGAGGGAAAATAATGTTACTCCAGGCCAACAAAAAGTTTTTTTCAGTGGCAGAAGCAAGCTTCAATAAAACATACAGTGCTGTGCACACCTTGTGCTAGATAAGCTACCATGGATGGCTCCAGAGTCAGTAAATTACTCAAGCCAGACTTTTCAGTGGTGTCAGGTCCAAGTACTATCCACCATCCAGAAAGCTTATAAACTGTAACAAAAAAAACAAAAAAACTCAATATTTGGGCGTCACAGACAGCATATTCATCACCTACAGTCTTATAACTGACAACAACAGGGTCATATAAGCTAACTTTAAGCTGGTAGACAACAAAGCTAACTAGCAACAGCTCACAAGCCCGACTTAGCTGAGGTGTTCTTGATGAGGGGAAGACCTTAAAACATGGGAACAGATTGTGAAGGTCATGTGCTGACGTGGACTCACATGTAAGAACGTATTTGCATAGCACATTTTTACACAAAAACTACAGAATTCTTTATAACAAAATACCAGAGAATAGAAATAAAGGTTAACCAAATGCAAGTGTGAAAACATGAGGTTTTAGCTGTTTTATGAAGGCGATCACCGAGTCCACAGATTTCAAGTTCAGTAATTCATTGTTCACTTGCTCTGACAAGCAAACACTGAATTACAATATTTTATACATGATGAAATAAATGCATGAATAACAGTTTCCAGTTCAGAGTGTGACACAATGAGACTTTACTTGGAAATATTTCTTAAGTAACACAAGCAAGCGATTTGACATGAACGTCCAACATGCAAAGGTTACGCCAAGGTTATCATGGCCCTGAGTCTGTGGACTTAGTGGTTTTGATTATTATCTTATGTTTCAGGTTAATTCTTGTTAAGATTTTCTTGTTCTTATGGTTTGGTTTCTGTTTTGTATTCTTAGCTCCTCCTGTTCTGTGTCTCTGTGCCTGCCCTGGTCCTACGTCTCTGTGTTCCCTCCCTGTTGCCATGTCTGTGTCATGTCACGTGTCATCCCATGTTTCACACTGTGTGTTATCCTGCATATCATTCTGCGTGACTTTCTGCATTTTCTTCTGCGAGTCATGGTTTCAGGTTTGTTTAGTAAGTTTTTCCCAGTTTGGGTTTATCTTTATGAAGCGCCTTGAGGCGACTTATGTTGTGATTTGGCGCTATATAAATAAAATTGAATTGAATTGTATTGAATCTTAGTTTCTGTTGTTCCCATGTCCACTCAGTCTGTATTCTCACCATTTTGAAAATAAAGTTCACTCACATCAAAGCCAGTGCCTGGCTTTTGGGTCTCTCGTTCACGACTCCACATGGCTGCCGCTGCAACCGTGACAAAAGTTCCAGAGAGAAGATTTAGCAAATGTGGCACAAGGACCGAGTTTCCATTATCTTAGACTTAAATCTGTCAGGGGACAAATAAGGACTTCTGCTTTCTCTTTATTAAGTCAGAGCACCTATGTAGGATCTGTAGCTAAGAATTATCTTGGGACTAAAAAGAGATATATAACCGAATGTCATCTGAATGTAGCAGTGATTAAAAAAGATGTTCAAAACATGCTGAAGAGCCATCAGATATAACAGAAAGGGCCCTAAAACAGAACCTTGTGGTATGCCATAGGTAATAGAAATAGAAGAGGACATGTACTTCACTGTGTTTATGTCATCACTGGTCATCTGCATTATTAAAGGAGTGAGAAGTGTCTTCACCTAGGCCATGTGGGGGTTGCAATACCCCATACGACATGTCTTGTTTTTATACACTGACGTGAGCAGTAAAACCTTTGAAGTGCAAATTCCTGAGAATTTTACTGAGAATGAATTATGACACCTTGTGATCTGCCTGCACTGGACCCCTGGTATGAACAATGTAATTTCTGTAATGTGTCACAAGGGAGTGCTCTTCATCTGATTGTCCAGTGACATGCATTCCCAAATCATTGCTGCTTACTACATGTAGCTGCATATATTTAGGCTGTGAATTAAATCATTAGTGCTTCATGTTGGGAATATTTACTAATCCTAAGAGAATGACATATTCACCTAATTTCAGAACAATGCAGTAAATTACAAACACAAGTCTTTGCATTCCTCTACCTCTCATTTTTTTCTTTTCTACTCCTTTTTCTAATAAATTCGACTAATAAATAGCCCTAACTAATTCCAGTGTCTGCTCACTCACCTTTTCTCTCATTCTTCCATTCCTTGTTATGGTAAAAATGTAAATGGCCTGCATTTGTATAGCGCTGTACTCAGTCCCTAAGGACCCCAAAGCACTTTACACTACATTCAGTCATTCCCCATTCACACACTGGCAATGGCAAGCTACATTGTAGCCACAGGTGCCCTGGGGCTCACTGACAGAGGCGAGGCTGCCGGACACTGGCGCCACCGGGCCCTCTGACCACCACCAGTAGGCAAGCATGGAGTTAGTATTTTGCCCAAGGATATTTAGCATGCAGCCAGGAGGCAGCCTGGGATCGAACCACCGACCTTCTGATTAGTGGCTGACCTGCTCTGCCACCTGAGCTACAGCCACCCCATGCATGACTGCACTGTCTCCAGTTCTTTCACCATCTCCTACTTTCCATTTTTTATTCCCTTTCTTTTTTCTTGCCCTCTATCAAACTGTCAATTTAGGTCAAGTTCAGCTGTGGGACACACGGGCGTCTGAGGCCGACCGACAGCTCCTTTGACCTGGTGGTCCACATCCTATGTAGACAGAGGCAGTCCAGTTTTGTCCTTAACTCTGGCAGACACACACTAACTCTCTGGATGGTAGAATTTCTATGAAGCAATTGTGCTGCATATGTTCGAACATTAAAACAAGGCCAGAGTTACAGATCTAATACTCCATTCAAAACGTCTGAATGAGTTTGTGTACATGCTCAATGTATAGCTAACCTATGCAG